TCATATGTAGGATTCTTGAGAAACCCTCTGACGTGCCGGACATGATGCATTCAAGTTGGCTCTCGTATGAGTTACCGGCCAGTACCATACCGGTATCTGAAGAGGAGAGGAAACAACTACCGGACACAATTCTGGATAACACCCTTTGGGCTAAGACCGCAGTTGATTTTTATCTACACGAGCGAAGCCAGGGGTGTTTCACTGACATATGCAAGCTCAATGATGATATCTATTTGTTGCTTGATCGGTCTTGGTGGGGCGTATTATTAGGGGTCGAAGACAATGGCTATTTCGATGGAGGGGTAAGTCTTATATTTTTCTTATATTTTCATTTGATTAATTTGTTTAAAAATTAATGTAATTCACTAATATATGTATTTTTTTGTAAAACAGCATATCGATGCGTGGGTGTCACGTCTACTAATAATTAGGAAACTTAAGGAAAATAAAAGAAATACACGGTATACAATATGTTTCAAACTAGCATTGTATTCACCTAAATCATTATTCTATCATAGTTCACAAAATGCTCAGATAACATTCCAGAAGTAAGCACTTATATAAACATTTAAAAGGACAACATATATAAACATTCCAGAAGAAGAATAGTTTACTTTCGCAACACGAAACTTAAAATCGCAACGCGAAATGACTATCGCAACGCGGAAATGGCTATCGCAATGCGAAATGAAAATCGCAACGACAAAATCGCAACGCGAAATGAAATCGCAACGACAAAATCGCAACGCAAAATGAAATCGCAACGATAAAATCGCAACGCGAAACACAAATCGCATTGCGATTTTCATTTCGCGTTGCGATTTTGTCGTTGCGATTTCATTTCGCGTTGCGATTTTGTCGTTGCGATTTTCATTTCGCATTGCGATAGCCATTTCCGCGTTGCGATAGTCATTTTCGTGTTGCGAAAGTAAACTATTATTCTTCTGCAAATTGAAACTTGAATGGATTGCATTACTTCAACCAAAAGACAAAAACAAAACCAAAAACAAATACTAACAAAAACAGATTGGCAGCAACCGAATGAATTACGAGTATGAAAAATCTTAAACTTACCTCGTTGCGTAGAGTATGAACCTCATTCTGCAACGATTCTACCATCTCACGTAGAGCGGCTACCTCACCGCGTAATGTAGACACCTCAACACGCCATGCACCATCGTCTTTGCGTAAAGTACCGACCTCCTCACGCAAGGCATTGACCTCATCACGTAACTCCCCTAACTCATCCCGTTGAGGTGGAGAACAGGGAGATAAACGTCGTGACATCTTTGCCGGTCGCCTATCTTGCGGTGATGGTGGAGAAGAGGCTCGATGATGTGAAAGAATAGGTGATGGCTGTCGTTGTGGAGGTGTATAGCCGGGTCGATCAGATGATGGCTCTAGGTGAGGTGATAGCTCTGGGCGAGGTGATGGCTCCCGAAGTGGAGGCTGCTCATCAACCGTTCCATCAAAAAAACGCTTACTAGCTTGACACCAATCAGTGGCAAGCTCAGCTTCCGTGGGTGTCAGCCTCTGTAGAGGAGTGTTGGCCTGCTAACAATATAAAAGCTTAAACAAAGTTAAATGTGTACTAGTAATAACTTGTTTATAAACATATGGTAGTATTTATGTTAACTTACATTATTTATTGTCGTATACCGTAGTAAATCTTCCCATTGCAAGGTTCGTTTCCTCTTCCAGGAAATAGCCCTGGGAATATTATTTGAAGTTTTTATTGCATATGTCTTCATGGCGGGAAAGGCCTCAAATATCCAAATCTACAAACAATAATAACAAACATTAGTAATTGTTAAATAATTACTTATAATTTTGGAAACATTATATAAAATTCTTACCTTAAAGGCCCAAATAAAGCCTGTCAAAGTGTATTTGGAACCATCGCCATGCAAACTTTTTCGATCATCCAAGGCAGACGATAACTTATTCCATGTAGCTTTCCATAAATACGAGCCCCACGGAAACAGGTTCCACATTTAGGTCTTCTACCAATTTGATTAGATCATTTGGAATAGGTTGTCTGGCCTCTCTGCCTAAAAAGCGGCATGCAAAAGAATTAGAAGGCATACTCGGACAACGTCGACGTCATCCATCCGAGTAAAACCATCTTTATTATTCAAAAATCTTGTCAGGTCTTCTACGTGTAGACTCGTCCTCTCCAGCTCAGGAAAAACCCGGGATAGCCATGATGGGCGGGTAATGTGTCTAGTGTACCGACCTACATCATCGTGTCCGAAGCGTAGACCGGTGATTAAGCAAAACTCCTCCCGCCCAAAACACGTATACGCCGGTGGAAAATCAAACCATATCTCTTCATCACGACGTTGTATAGTCTCTGGTAGATCTCTAGTCATGGTTTGAAGAAACAGGTGTGTCAACATCGCATCTCCACCGGGATGTTGTACTTTCAGCCATGGCCCGAAGCATGTATCCTCAAACATTTTTCTTTGTGCAGGTGAAAGCTTCGACGCAATTGTTTTGGCCAGGCTGACTTTATTTCTCAAGGTCAATTGAGCCGAATAAAAGTTCTACAAAAACAATAAACATACTAAATTAGATATACCAAAAACTACACTGTGAAGATATACCAAAAACAATAATAAACATAAATAGTAGTAGTTTATTCTTCAAACTTAAATATGCAACACTGTGAATTTCGTATTTGTCTTTGTTTTTGGTTGAAGTAATGCAATTCATTCAAGTTTCAATTTGCAGAAGAAGAATAGTTTCTGAAAATGAAAATCGCAACACGAAAATGACTATCGCAACGAGAGATCGCAACGCGAAACTAAAATCGCGTTGCGATTTGCATTTCGCGTTGCGATTCTTGGTTGATTTAATAAGCAATCTAAGTGAAATGGTTAATCTATTATTGAAATTACCAGTAAACCTATCATCAATTTCAATATGAAAAACCTAATAATAATGCAAAAATTTCAAAAAGAAAATAATTAAAAAAACTAACCCTCGTTGGTTGATTTGGTTGATTTTCCATTTCTGATTGTTAGGGTGGCTCTGAGAGATTTAGATAGACGGATTTCGCCGGAGATGGGGACGGATTTCGTCGGAGATGGGTGAGAGAGTGAGAGATGGAGATGGGACTGAGTTGTGATTTTAGGTTTTAGGTTATGAGTTGCGATTACGGGATATACTGTGGACAGTTCAGTGTTCCAATATATTTTATATTCATGTTTGGAATTTAAAAATAAAATACTTGGCCAGGATACTAATGGCGCTTTGAAAATCGCATTGCGATTATGTATTATCGCGTTGCGAAAGTCAGTATCGCGTTGCGAAAGTAAGTATCTCGTTGCGATTTTTTATTATCGCATTGCGATAGTCAGTATCGCATTGCGATTTTCTCAATTCGCGTTGCGATTTACTTATTCGCATTGCGAATTTCCCAATTCGCGTTGCGATTTACTTATTCGCATTGCGAATTGGGAAAATCGCAACGATACTGTAGACCATCGCAACGCGATTTTCAACTATCGCATTGCGAAAATGCAACGCGTATTTGCGATAATGGAGATCGCGTTGCGAATTAGCGATCGCATTGCGATTTTGTTGGTCATTTTGGCAAATCCGGAAAAAGTTGGTTAAAATCGTATATTATATGGGATTTTTGGTCACTGAGGTTATTTTTCTCATATAAATATTGCAATTATATGACTCTTTTAAAATATATATTTTTCTAATAGAACCTAATCTATGTTGAAATATATTTTTTATATATAAAATAGATATAACTATTATAATTATTTAACTAATAGATTATGTCTTAAAGCTCAGTTAAAGAATTAAATTGTTCATTTCAACTTGTTAGATTGCGTAGAGATCGAGACGTTATCATATCGACTTAGAATCAATATCGTGTGAACATGATTGGATTTGCATTATAAATCTGTATTTTTGGATTGAGATTTTTCAGATTTTATTAGGTATTTACTAATCTTACTAACACTAATTGATTTTTTGTACTTTGATCTTTGGAGAAGATCGTTGGATTATTTTTTCACTACACCGTAGTATGTATTCACATCCCAACAATAATCATTTAAATTTCATTTATATATAATGTACTTTACTTTATATATTAGAGTTAATTACATAATATGTCCTTAATTTATGATCTTCATTCTAAATTAATCTGTTAACTTTTTTTTTTGAATAAGTCCTACCTAAGGAGAAAAGGAAAGATAATTTTACTCATAATAGGTATTGAAAATTCACAATATAGGAAAGACGAAAGGTGACAATTGAGACCTCTTAATCAAATACTCTAAAATTTATTAACTAGTCCCTAAACTTTTAACATTCTAATTTCATTCTTAAACTATGACTATTATTTTAAATTAGTTCTCAATTTTTTTAATATTTTAATTATATCCCAAAATTTTAACATTTATTATAATAAGTCCCCCAACTTTTTGAACATTTTAATCTCATCGCAAACTATACAGATATACTAATCACATCCATTGTTAGTAAAACCGTTAGACCAAACCATATTATTATATGTTTTAAAAAGTAGAATTTAGATTGAATTATGAATAAAACTAATTACCTATTTGGATGAATTTGAGCATGAAATTATAAGATTCAAAATTTTGAGGACCTATTCAAAATGAGAGTCAGAATTTAGGGATGAAATTGAAATGTTCAAAATTTTTAAAAACTAATCAGAATAAAAATTATAGTTTAAGGATAAAATTAGAATATTCAAAATTTTAATGATCACTCTAAAATGAGAAATCATAATTTGATATAATTAACTCTAAATTTTGTCTTTTAGAATTGAATAATAAAATTCAATATACAAATGAAGTATAGTGATAAATAAAGCAAAAAGGTTAACCACCTTAATAAATTACAACTTGGAAAAGCTGAGCCGCAGAAAGTTACATGCACAAAAAGAAAAATAAAGACGAAAAACAGTACAGAAAAAAAGGCGACAAGAACAGGCATCTTCACCACTGCACATAGGTTTTTGTTTCCCATTATAAATAGCGTCCTTTCACTTGCTATCTCACCATGTATATCCAAAACAACAGAATGGTCTCTATTGAGTTATCAAACGAGCTGATTCCAGGTTTACCTGAGGAACTTGGACTCGAGTGTTTGACTCGGTTTCATTATTCTACTCAGCGAATCGCAGCCCTTGTTTGCCGACGATGGCAACAAATTATCCAAAGCAGACACTTCTACTATCTAAGGAAGCGAACCGGACATACCCAGAAAGCGGTTTGCTTAATTCAATTGCGTACCGGTGGCTTCGATTCTGATGGGTCTAAGCCAGTAGGACAACCCAGATACGGTATCACTGTTTTTGATCCAGTTGGTGGGATCTGGGGTCGAGTTGATCCGGTTCCGAAGTACCCTTACGGGCTTCCTTTGTTTTGCCAGATGACAAGCACCGAAGGAAAGCTTGTGGTGATGGGTGGATGGGACCCCTCAAGTTATGATCCAGTGAGGGACGTCTTCATATACGATTTCACAACTCAGAGGTGGAGACAAGGTAAGCAGATGCCAGGTACACGATCATTCTTCGCGGCTGGTGGGTTCGAAGGACGTGTTGTCGTGGCAGGAGGTCATGATGAGAACAAGAACGCTTTAAATACAACATGGGAATACGACACTAAGCGTGATGAATGGACCGAGTTGACTATGATGAGTCAAGAGCGAGACGAGTGTCACGGGATGGTGATCGGGTCGGAATTCTGGGTGGTGAGCGGTTATAGAACGGATAATCAAGGAGGATTTGAGGAGAGTGCCGAGTTGATGGATTTGAGGACAGGTCAATGGAGTCGAGTTGAGGAAGTTTGGAAGGCGAGCCAGAGTCCTAGGTCTTGCGTAGGAGTCGGGAAAGATAACACACTCTTCTTCTGGGGCTACCGTGGTTCGAGAATACGGGTGGGAGCATGTGCAGTCCCGTTGGGGGAATGTACATTTGTATCTGGATCAGCTTACCAGGGCGGACAACAAGAGTTCTTTTTAGTCGACAGACACGAAGAAAAATTCAAGAGCATCCATGTTCCCGTCCAGTTTTCTGGGTTTGTACAATCTGGTTGTTCTGTGGACATCTAATTCTAAGTCTAGATGTAAACGTATAACTGAACTCTTTTAAGTTTATAGCCATCCATTGTGAACTAGGCATGTTGATGAGTGTACCATGCTTTATTTGCATATACATGTACATGGGTGTAAAATATCTTGTAATATAACGCACGAATTACCCATACCTTGTATGTTCTCTTTTTGTTCAATGGGCATCAACAATGAACAAATACGGTAATAAACACAACAAAAATGTATCTACTTACCAATTAAGAAACAAGGATGTAAGAAACATGTTCAAAATAGTTCATTTAAGGATGTTTAACATCATTATTAGCGACGACCAGAACAGGAACTAAACAATCAACTTTGTTCTCAATCATATAGTAAGATTTATTATCACACACACAATACCAATCCTCGCACCATCAAATCAGTCCCACCTAGAATAGTCAACACTTCCACTCCTCCTACTACTAAAGGGTGACCTTGAGTACAATCATTACATATTAATCCTCACACCATCAAGTCGGTCACCTGGAATAATCCACACTTGGGCTCCTACTCCTACTATAGGGTGACCTCGAGTATGATCGTCCTCTATAACTCCCATCTCTGGGTGAAATGGACCTACGCCACATTGAAAGACCACATTAATACAACCATTCACAAACTATAAATGATTACAACAAAATTGATGAACAGCTTACCTTGAGTACCCCCTTCTCCTAGGAGAATAATAGTCTGGACTGCGGGAGTAGCTTTTATCATATCGTGTTGATCGAGAATGACAAAGTGGGGAGCGCCTATATGACCGGCTCCTGTCATTAATATCATGCACATACATAACACTTAAGTTAAACATTAACATTGTCCAAGTACAACTTTATACCCAGAAATCCTTAATAACAAATACAAATTTCTCGTCTTCCTAAAGGATCTAGGCATTACAGAATAAGAACATCAACTGAACAGGAGCTAATTTGGAATTAAAAAATTAGTGGGTAAAATATGGACTTGCATTACAAAGAACACATGCTTACCTTCTCCATTCTCTTGCCCTCATTTCTGAAGGTTTCTTCCTGTTTTCCTCAGCAAATACAACAGTTAGTTCTCGTTCAAGAAGAACATAACCATCCATATGATATTTTGCATCAGCAGCATCAGTAGGATCAAGATACTGAACAAATCCAAACCCACGTGGTTCCCTGCATCCAACATCAGGTAGCTCCCATAAAAATAACATAAATATACAAACGGAGGATATCAGACTTCATAAGCCACAAATGCTCACCGATTTTCAAAATCACAAACATGATCTTGACTCCAGTAACATGGAAAATCTTGATATCAAGCCAATGCTTCATACAGTACAAGTACGTGACTGCTAACCTTGTGTAGCCAAATTTTAATTGAATTGATTTTCTTCAAGACTTGCAATTCTTCATAATGAGTTCAAAATCAACTTCCTTCCAACTTGATGTAAAATTAAGATCATCTTGAACGGTACTCATTACTTGAAAGCGTCTTCAACAATGTACTCTTATACTTCATAGGTGTCTTCGACACAGTACTCTTAATCTTCAAAACTTTCAATAAAAAAAACCAAATTCCAATAAACCAATGTAAATGACCAGAAAAATATCCCATGATCTAAAGCCTTAAGTGGGACAGGATAAAAGACAGACAAGTTGTTATTACCAGAAAGCCACACATGCATACACACTGAGTTACCATTTTAAGGAATACAATATTATACTTACCCAGTATAATAATCTCGAGGCAGGTAGATGTCCTTGAGGCGACCAAATTGCCCAAAAGGTCCACGGAGATCTTCTACCCTGCACATGAAGCACAATTAGAAATTTATTAGCTCTAAGAAGACAACTTGAAAGAGACAAAAGTTTAACTTGTATTAGGACAAAGACTTTTTTGTTCTCACAAAAGACACACAAACAAAAGCTACGTTGTCATGTTTGGGTGTGAAAAAAATGATTAATGCAAAAAATTGAGGTCTTTAGGCTTTGCATATAATCACTACTATGAAAACAAAAACCAAATACTGCTATCATAGAACCGACTCAAGTTAAGAGGGAGACAATTCAAACCTGCAATCATGGGAAGGTTGCGAACAAGAAGACTTGTGGGAAGATCTCTACTACGACCTCCATATCGACCCCTAGGGCTAGGGCTGCGATACCTCCTACCATAATCCTTGGTGGTGGACTGTAACTGTAACTTCTACCCCTCATTTGCAACAAACCTGAGAAATTTGAAAGCATTAAAAAAGCTAAACTAGTATTGCAAACCGAAAAGGGAAAGAAAAAAAACCTGACAATTCTACAGCTGCAATGCAATGAAGAATGTATAAATTTCAGCAAAGCGTAAGAAATAAAATTGCATTTAAAGAATTTCATTGTTCTTGAGCGAATACAGACTTGATTTTGAATTATTAGACTTTTCTTCGAAGATAATTCAAAAAAAAACGAAAAAAATAAACGAGAAAGAAGGTAACAATTGAACTGAGCCTAAATTTACAAATATATAAGCATTCATAATACTTTTTCCCCCATATGCTTGGAAGCTAAGTAAAATTCTGTTTCTAAATCCCTAAATCATTTTTCAGCCATGAAAAATATTTCTATAAAATAAAAGATAATCAATACGCAACATAAACTACTGACTACACTCATAAAAGATTAAAAAAGAGAAGAAGCAAAAGTACTGAACATGTAACAATAGAAATACTACATCGGAAAAAGAAAAAGAAAAGAAAACATTAAAATTACAGAATTTTGAAGAAAACAAAATCTAATCAGGACATTATACCATGACATCTTAATGAAACAATAAAAGAGATTTACGAATAAAAAAATTAAAGAAAATGAAGAGAGAAGTGACTGCGAGAAACTTAACTGCTTCGCGAGCAAGACAGAGAAAATCCCAATCTTTCAATTGTTCTATCTTTCAGAGAGATCAAAATTCTTCATCACGCCTTTCTATAGAATTACCTACCCTCCAGATTCAAACTCCAGAAGCTTCCTGCTCTACGCATCCTTACCGTCCACGTGTTTTCCATAAAGAGGATCAACGGCGTTGGCTTGGTTGGATCCACAAATGGGCCTTGATCCAACTAGAACATAGCTGAAACCTAAGGACCCTTGTTTAAAATGGTGCCCAAAATTAAAAGCCTTTTTAAAACAAAGTGGATCCAAATAGGCCCATCAATAAAATCCGACCCGACATTGCCAGCCCTAGCAGCGGCGGCGGCGGCTTCAAGTTCTAATAAAATGTCACTTCTATATGTCTTAAATATCTCTAAACCCTTCTTCTACTCCTAGGTTTGCTCCCACAGCAAAAATTTTCCTAACCCCATACCTTTTCTTCTCGTAAACGAAGTTCGTTCTTTCGGATTCTCCTGTTTTATTTGAAGGAAAATGGCGGGACCTTCGAAGAAATTTCAGAAGCAAAAACCTGATGTAAGGAAACCGAAGTTCAATAAAGCGTCCAAGAAACAGTTCAAAACGAGGAAGGATTCCAACGGCGCTGTTAAGTCTGAGGGTGTAGCTTTGCAGCTTGAAGACGATGTCCCCGACTTCCCTAGAGGTTTCTTTTTATTATTTATTTTCCTTCAATTTTCTGTTTGGTTCCCTAGGAAAAATAGATTGTATTTGAATTGAAATTACAATTATTAATTTGAAACGTTATCGTTATTTTGGTTTAATGAAACGGTTGGCGATTTGACAGGTGGAGGGAGTTCCTTGAGCAAACATGAACGTGATGAAATTCGAGCAGAAGTCGATGCGGAATTTGAGGAAGAGGAGCTGGCATTGAAGAAGAATAAGAGGAAGAAACCACAGAAAAAGAGCCAGGTTATGTTGGATGACTTGGGTTCACTGTTTGGTGATGGCATTACTGGCAAGCTACCTAGATATGCAAATAAAATAACTATGAAGGTATAAATCCCTAAAGAAACTTTTTTGCAATCAAGTTTAATTTGTTTTTTGATCTTTTGTGTTAAGTTGTTTCCATCTAACCATAAGCTCTGTGTTGGAGAATGTAGTCCTATTGGCGGTCATATATATTAGAATATAATTAGATACCAAGTTTCAATTGTTTGTTGTTACTTTCTTATGTTACCTGCTTTAAATGTTAAATTTCATCTGTTAATTTTTTTTTTCTTAGCCTTCCCATTGCCTCCCCCCCACCCCAAATACATCAGTGTTTTCTGTTCTTATTTGTATGTTCTCTCATGTTCCCATAGTAGGCTGTGTGGTAGCATATGATGATTTAAGTCTTACTAGTTTATTTTCCTTGATTTTCATTAAAATTCAGCGAGCTTTCATTAGTTTATATGTGTTAGGATCTTTTCTAACTTCATAAATGAACTTGTTTTTTCTTTTTGGTGCATGTAGAATATTTCTCCTGGAATGAAGCTCTGGGGAGTTGTTGCTGAAGTAAATGAGAAGGACCTTGTAATTAGTCTTCCAGGTGGCTTGCGTGGTTTAGTTCGTGCCGGTGATGCACTCGATTCTGCTCTCAGAAATGAAGTTGAGGTACACCTGCATATAAATGTGTTTCTCAGGGGATATAGTTATTATTGTCTTGTCCCCCCCCCCCCCACTTTAGATGTACTCCCATTTTTTTTCTTAGCAAGTCATGCATTCAATTGTAGCATTGAGTTTCTTAGGGGATGAACTTTTTCTTGACCAGAGTAATGAAGGGGATTTCCTCAAAAATATATTCTACCCGGGACAGCTGGTTTCCTGCATTGTGCTGCAGTTGGATGATGATAAGAAGGAGATTGGCAAAAGAAAAATATGGCTTTCCTTGCGTCTCTCTTTGTTGCACAATGGTTTCACCTTGGATGCTGTTCAAGAGGGAATGGTATGTTGATTAATCATTGGAGAATTGAATAATCCTAGCCATTAAATAATTATTGTAATTGAAAAGCTGTTTCAGTTTAAGAAATTAGACAATTTATTTGAATCTCTTTTTCATATTACATCTGTTGTTGCAAAAATAATTCTCTCAAAGTTAACTATGAGGAAAGATAGTTTTGTTTTGTTTTTTTTAATTGTTGTCTTTGCAGATTCTCTTAAATTCATATTGTAAGGTAT